GCCCGAGCAACGCCCACGGCAGCCACGCCGAGGTGGCCTGCGCCGCGGACCTCGCGGCGCGGCGCCAGAGCGGGGCAAGGCGTCAGAGCACGGTTGCGAGAGGGAGGGAAGGAGGGGGAGGGGAGGGGAGCAGGAGGAGGAGGAGGAGGAGGAGAAGGAGGCTGAGGAGGAGGAGAAGGAGGAGGAGGAGAGGAGGAGGAGGGGAGGAGGAGGAGGATGAGGAGCATGGAGGAGGACGACGATGATGAGGAGGAGCAGGAAGGAGAGTGAGGAGGAGGAGGAGGAGGAGGAGGAGGAGGAGGAGGAGGAGGAGGAGGAGGAGGAGGAGGAGCGCAATGACCTAAGAAGAGACGAGTCGGGCGGCCAAGGGCACGAGACGAAAGGAGGGCAAACATCTCAAACATCTCTGATCAGAGAAGCAAGCGCGGGCATGCGACGGAGGATCTGCTTGAAGCGGGCGGCGGAGGCAGCGCGACTTTGGCAGGGAGGAGGGGGAGGAGGAGGAGCAAGAATTAGAAGGAGGAGGAGGAGGAGGAGGAAGAGGAGGAAGAGGAAAAGGGGGAGAAGGATGAGGAGGATGAGGAGGAGGAGCCTTTAGCAAGAGCCACTTCTGGCAACGCGCGGCCGTGTCGTCCCCGCTGGAGCGGGGGGAGACGCGAGGGTCGGGGGCCCCCGTGCACGGTGTGGTGAGCACGCAGCGTGGTGAGTCAGTGGGGATTCGGGGTCGCCGCACGGTTTCGGGACCCGGGTCGTTCTCCGAGGACCTCTCGGGCGACGGGCGCCTCGGGGGTCCCCAGACCGTGCGGTGAGAGACCGTGCGGTGAGGTCTCTTGGGACTTCGGAGCCGCTGCGCGGCCTGCCAATCACGCGGCTCTGGGACCCCCAGCCCCCTGGAGGCGCGCCCCCTGCATCCCCCCCCCCCCGGCGTAAAGTCTCCCGCGGGCAGGGCCCGTCCCCGCATTGGGCACGCGTGGCGCGCTTGACCCGCACACGGCCTCCTCCCCCTCCCCCTCCCCCTCCAACTCCCCCTCCCCTCTCCCCCTCCTCCTCCTCCTCCTCCTCCTCCTCCTCCTCCTCCTCCTCCTCCTCCTCGCCCCCTGCGCTCGACCCTGTCAGCTCCGCGCGCCCGTGCCCGACCCAGCCCGAAGCATTGGGCAGGCGACGCCGCCGCGGAGTCGCCGCGCAGCCGCCGGAGGGAAGGGCAGCGAATCGGGCGAGGGACTGCCGAGACAGCGGGGGCCCTCGCGGGCGTTTTTCGTCCCGTCTTCGGCCTCCTGGAAGCTCCCTGTGGTCGCCATGGCAGGGTGCGCCGCGGAAAGTGGACCAGGATGGGCCCGTGGAGGGGTCTGGGGGCCAAAAATGAGCGGCTTCGGGCTGGGCGGGAGAGCCGACGCTGTTTCGACTGGCCCTGGGCCGGCGAAGAGAAGGCCGGCAGGGGCCGCCGAGGGCCAGGTGGGCCCTGGGCCAGCAGCGCAGGGCAGGGTGGGCCCGAGCCCTCACCGCCTCTCGCTGCGGAGAGGTCACGGCGTGCGGCTCCAGGTCATTTTCAGCCTCTGGGGGCCCTCAGCAAGCACTGGGGCCCTGGAGGGATGACTCGGGACGGAAAGCGGTCTCCTGGAGTCCACGCTGTGAGCGAAGCCACGGATTCATAGTTTAGGGGGGAGGGGATCAGATGGGGAGGGCCGTACGGCCAAAGGGAGGCCGGGCTGCATACGCGCCTGCACCGAGTGAGGAGACCATGCTGATGACGTCCTGCTCCGGTTCCTCCTCCTTGTCCTTCCTCCGAGGGCAAACGAACCACCCTCACAATAAGCACCCCAGCAAGTGAACCCTTTACACGACGCGCCCTAGATAATAATCGGCCAGGACAGGGCTGTTCACCAAACGGTCAGGAGTACTTCGCAAACGCAAAACGTGGGGGTCGGGGTGTTTTGCCCTGCCTTAGCACTTGGTTTCTTACGGCTTATGATCCTGAAACTTCGAGTTCACACGAGTGTCCAAGATGGGGAGTGGACCCTTTTCGGAATGGGTGCTCTCGCCTGAGTTCCGCGCGCATTCGCCATACCAACGTGCAACAAGTACTAGTAGCGAGGGCGGGCCCTTCTCAAAACGAGGCTCTCGCTTAAGAACCGCGAGCGCTCGTCTCAACAGCTTGCTGCAACTGCAGGGATGTAGGGCGGCCGATTTTCAAAACGCGGCTCTGGCCTTGACGACGCGCGAACCTGTCTCAAAGTTTTGGCAGGGATTGTCGACTCTTAGCGCATCAAATTGTGGCTCTCGCTTGAGACGTCCTCGCCTTTGCCGACCAGGCGTTTAAACATATGCCACAACCGCGCGAATCGAGGACGGTTCGTTGTCAAGATGGGATCTCGCTTGAGACTTCCTCGCACGTGCATATCAGGAGCCAGAAGTGTACACGTGTGCAACACTTACACGGGTTGAGCGAGGAACTCTCGCTGGACACTGCGTTTCACTATATGATCATACATTTTCTGCACCCCCCAACTCGCTAGAACAAACATGCACGACAGGCCATATTTGAAATGGGGTTTCGCTTGCATGGCAGGCCCATAGGGGTGCTCGTCTTCCAAGAAGGCACTTCATGTTCCTAGTGAACAAGGAAGCCCGTAGGGTCTTTTGTTGAAAAAAAATGACTTCGGACGGGAGAGTGTATTGCAGCACCGTTGACGCATCCTTTGCTTACTTGGATCATCCTCGACCTCCACCACTACTCCTACTGCTGCTGCTACTGCCATGTGTGTTGCGGTTGCTGCTGCGCTCTGACTACTACGACTAGACGACGACGACTACTACTACTACTACTACTACTACTCCTACTCCTACTCCTACTCCTACTCCTCCTCCTCCTCCTCCTCCTACTACTACTACTACTACTATTACTACTGCTGCTACTATTACTATTATTACTACTACTACTACTGCTACTACTACTACTACTACTACTACCACTACTACTATTACTACTACTACTACCACTACTACTACTACTACTACTCCTGCTACTACTACTACTTCTACTACTACTACTACTACTACTACCACTACTACTACAGCGACTGTTGCTGCTACTACGACTACGACTACGACTACTACTACGACGACGACTACTACTTCTACTACTACGGCTACTACGGCTACTACTGCTACGGCTGCTGCTGCTGCTGCTGCTACTACGACTACGACTACGACTACTACTACGACGACGACGACTACTACTTCTACTACTACGGCTACTACGGCTACTACTGCTACGGCTGCTGCTGCTGCTGCTACTGCTGCTGCTGCCACGACGACGACGACGACTACTACCACTACTACTACTCCTACTGCCACTACTACTACAGCTGCTACTACTACTACGACTACGACAACGACTACGACTACTACTACTACTACTACTACTACTGCTACTGCTACTGCTACTACTACTACTACTACTACTACTACTACTACTACGACTACTGCCACTACTACTGCTGCTGCTACTACTACTGCTACTACTGCTGCTACTACTACTACTACTACTACTACGACTACGACTACGACTACGACTACTGCTACTACTACTACTGCTGCTACTGCTACTGCTACTACTACTACTACTGCTACTACTACCACCACCACCACCACTACTACTCCTGCTACTACTGCTACTACTACTACTACTACTACTACTACTACTACGACAACTACGACGGCTACTACTACTACTACTACTACTACTACTACTACTACGACTACTACTACTACTACTACTACTACTACTACTACTACTACTACTACTACTACTACTACTACTACTACTACTACTACTACTACTACTGCTGCTGCTGCTACTAGTACTACTACTACTACTACTACCTGCTGCTTGCTGCTACTACTACTACTTTACTACTACGCTACGGCTGCCACTACCACTACAACGACCACTACCACTACCACTACCACTCCCACTCCCACCCCTACCCCCCACCCCCACCCCCACCACCACCACCACCACTACCACTACCACTACCACTACTTCTAACACTACCACTACCACGCCACTGCCATTGCTACAACCACTACCACTACAACCCACACGGCTACCGCTGCCGCTGCCACTACCACTGGCATTGCCACTCCCGCTGCGACTACCACTTCCAATGCCAGTGCCAGTGGCAATGCCAGTGCCCGTGCTGCTGCTAGTACTGGTCCTCGTCCGCCTGCTCCTCCTCGTCAACGTCCTCGCCCTAGTCATCGTCTCGTGATCGCCACTCTGGCGTGTCTACGATGCCCGCGAACATCGTTCTGGTGTGTACAGGCTGCGCCCCTGGGATCCAGAGCGTCCGTCTGAAGGCCTGGGCTTTAGAACATCATCTGGAACACGGAGGCGGAGGAACCCGAGTGCCAAACGTCCTGTCGAAGCCCTCTCAGTCCAGTGAGCGGAACCTGGGCGCCTGCGCGAAGTGCAGAAATCATGGCGACACACCTTGCCGCCTCAGGCCTCGGCCTCGGCCAGCATACTAAGGAATAGTCAGCCTGCGCGTTCTACATGGAGGCATTCCTGGCTGAGCGCACCGTTCAGCCTGCTGTGCCAAGCTCCACACCATCTCGTTTGATCGGTGGCTGTGCCGACTGATAGACGACCAGGACAGCGTGCTCGTCAGGCCAATGCCCGCCCTGGTGCGAACGCGCCGTCGCATGCCAATTGCTAAGTGCAATCAACACCAAGCGCAGCTGGCCCGTCCTGCACTACACTACTCATGAAGCGACCTAACTCAGTGTTCCTGTGACCAGTGTCCCTGGATGTTTGTCTGGATGAGGACGGACGACATAGTTGATGGTGAGCAGACGGAGGAGGACATCAGCAGGAGCAGGACAGGACCAGGAGGACATCGGGGAGGAGGAGGAGTAGGAGGAGGAGAAGGAGGAGGAGGCCGAGAATGAGGGAGGGGATGGAGGACCAGAAGGAGAGGCGGCTGCGGGGGAATGGAGAAGGACGAGTCTGATCGGCGTTCCAGCACTGCGAGGGCGTCTCTGTGTGGTCTTTGTGCAGCCGCGCGCGGGTGCCGCCTCGGGCGAAGCGCGGCTCGCTCGCGTCTGCGGGGGTTGGGGGGGGAGGAAAAAAGCGCGGCGCAGCCGCGGGAGCGCGAGGCCGAGCCCGCACGCAGAATGAATGAGCAGGTCTGGCGCGACACGTTCGCGAGAACGCGGGCCAACTCGTGCCGAGCCAACACGCAGCGTGTCAACACGGACGCGTTGAACACGGCACGTGCTGCGTCTCAGCACGGGCGTATCGGGGCAAGCGGGGTCAAAACCATGCAAACACGCACGACGCACTCTGTGGCTCCGCATGGGGGGCGCCACTCGCTGCATCTTGAGGTTTGGGTCGGGCGGGCGAGCAACGACACACACACACACATACCTGCACGCTCGCTCTCTCTCCGGTTCCGCAAAGCACGAATGGTCGTGTTCATACGCAGGCCAGCTAAAGCCGGCTGCGTACGTGCACATAGGCTGATGGCCTCTGAGTCGGGGGTGGAAGGTTCTCTGGAGGAGTATGGACGGAAAACGAGGAGACGGCACGCGCCGCTCCCTCACTGCTGCTGGCACTGGACTTGCTGCCCGCCGGGGCCGCGAGGGCCGTGCCCCTCGCCATCGCCGTCGTCGTCGTAGGCCTCGCCGCCGCCTGTCATGTTGACCTTGTTCTCGTTGAACGATGCGACGGGGTCGATGTCGACTATGGTGTGAACCTCTACGTCCGTGTCGCTCTCCTTGAAGGCGGGCTTGTTGAGCGGCGCTGGTAGCAACGAACGGATCGACTCCTGCGTGCTGACCGAGAGTGACTCCGGGAACTCGATCGTGAGGATGAGGAAAAGGTTGCCGCACACGAAAGGGTTCCTGAACGTGGGCATGCCCTCGCCCTTGACAGCCTTCATCATGCGGAAGGACTTCCTGGCGTCCGGGTCCGACACGACGTACATGGTGTGGCCCTTGCGAGGCTTCTTCGCGGCCAGCGCCTCCTCCCGGGAGGCCTGCTTGAAGTACGCACGCTGGCCATCCACCACGAAGACGCCGACGTCGATGCCCTTCCTCTTGAGCTGCGTCTCGACAGCCTTCTTCAGAGTATCGACGTCGGTGGTGTCGCCCTGGGCCACGTTGTCGAGGCCAGGGCAGTCGCTATCCTCAAAGACCTCCCACTCCGTCTTGGACTCCCCTTCGGCCAGCGGATCGAAGCTGGCGTCCATGGGCTTCACGATCTCGCCTGGGGCGGTCTTGACGAGCAGCTTCCGGCCGTCGAGGTGCGTGATGTCGAGGCTGAAGCCGCAGAGCGCCTCCACGAGCGATATCTTCTTCTCCACGAACAAATCGGCGCCCTTGCGCTTGAAGACAGGGTGCTCCTGCTGCTGCAAGACGAAGACGACGTCGCCGGTGTCCGCCTCTGGGTGCTCGTCTGCCATCTCTCGAAAGGGGATCTTGTGACCATCCGTCGAGCCCTTCTGGACCACCACCTCCAGCACCTGCCTCTCCTTGACGGTGCTGAAGGAGCGCCCCTGCCCGCCGCACGCCCCGCAGGTCGACTGCATCTGCTGGATCATGGGCCCCATGCGCACGACCTCGACCTTCACGCCGCGGCCGTCGCAGGCGCGGCACTCCGTGACCCCCTTCTTCTTGTCGATCACCGCCCTCGTGATGGCCATCTTCTTCGTGGTCCCCGTGTAGAGCTGGTCCAGGGTGACCTTCAGAGGCTGCACGACGTCCTTCGTCTTCTGGCGCCTCTTGCCGCCGCCCCCGCCGCGCCGGCCGCCGCCGCCGAAGAAGGCATCGAAGATGTCCGACGGATCGCCCCCGCCGCCGCCACCCTCCAGGCCCTCCTCGCCGAACTTGTCGTACTTGGCCCGCTTCTCGGGATCGCTCAGGACCTCGTACGCCCGAGTGACCTCCTTGAAAGTCTCGGGATCGCCGCCCTTGTCGGGGTGGTGCTTTACGGCTAGCTTCCTGTACGCCTTCTTGATCTCGGCGTCGCTCGCGTTCTTGTCCACCTCCAGAAGCTTGTAGAACTTGGTGGTGTCGGCAGGCTTGCTGCTGCCACGACCTCCGCCCTTGCCACCTTTTGAGCTGGAGTAGTGGGTCTGAGGCAGCTGGGTTCGCGGGGAGAGGTGCAATAGAAGCGTAGCTCTCGCAGCTGCGGATAAGAGTGAGGTGGCGGGTCGTCGGCCGTCTGCGAGGCTCTGAAGAAGCCTGCCGCAGGCGCTGGATCTTATACATTACACACCGAGCTCGCCGCAGGCGCCGAATTTTATCAAGCAACGTGGATGGGTCGAGGTTGCGTCGCGGTTAGGTGGCGGGCCGGTCGCGGGCGGGTCGCGGGCGGGTCGCGGACAAGGACGAGGACAGCACCGACAAACGTGCAGACTCCGCGCCACGGAATCTCACTTCAGCCGCGCACCCAGGGACGGTGTAAGACCGTTCGGGCCCCCCACTCTGACTTGCAACGTTTGGTGCCTGGATGCAATCATCTGCGCGCTGGATGCAACGGGTGCGCGCGAATGAAACTGATGTAGCTGTTTTCATGCGCAGTAGTTGTCGCCCTATGCAGTAGCTCGTGCCCCACGCAATGGATGCGTACTGTTGCGCGCAATTGTATACAGTAAAAAACGATTGCGCCCCTCGCCGCCAACCCTCCTGCGCCAGACCCATTATTCCACCTTTCCCACCTGGCCCGTCCATCCCTGGGAACCCGCCGAAGAACATCCTGAATTCTGGCCTGAGGCTGGCCCGCCGGTCTGTGCACTCTGCGGGGGCCGCGCTCGGGCAGAGAGAGGGGTGGCCCTTGAGTCAAAAAGGCTACGGAGAAGAAGGATGCTGATGATGATGGTGATGGTGATGGTGGCGACGACGACGATGATGGTGACAATGATTATGACGAGGATGAGGATGATGCTGATGCTGCTGGCGCTGATGCTGACGCTGACGCTGATGATGCTGATGATGATGATGCTGATGATGATGATATGATGATGGCGATGAAGACGATGATAACGATGCTGGCTGTGGTGACTGTGATGATGGCGATCATGGCCATGGTGATCGCGACTAGGAGGAGGAGGAACAGGAGGAGGAAGAGGAGGAGGAAGAGGAGGAGGGGCAGGAGGAGGAGGAGGAGGAGGTGGAGAAGGGGAGGAGGGGGAGGAGGAGGAGGAGGAGGAGGAGGAGGAGGAGGAGGCGGAGGAGGAGGAGGAGGAGGAGGAGGAGGAGGTGGACGAGGAGGAGGAGGAGGGGGGGTGGAGGAGGAGTAGGAGGAAGGGGACAGCGACGACAATTTTCCTGGTGTCACGTCGTCCAATGTCTTCAGCGCCGGGACCAATGTGAGTTCCCAAATTTCGCAAATCGCGCAAATTCCACTGCGGGCAAACCATTGGGATGGTCAGAAAAACTGCCGCGCAGGTCGCGCTTTAGGCCGCCGCGCGCGAAAACTCGACATTTCTGGAAGCCCTGATAGAGCCCGCGCGCTGGGCCCACCTGCATCAACGACGACGGGGCACGAGGGTGCGAAATCAGGGCGTTGCCCGTGGCAAACGTGGCAAAGCTACAGTCGCCGACATATGCCGGCGAACTTGGGCGTGGCAACCGAGGCGGAAGTGCAGCCATCGCTGGGCAGGGCCAAGCCCCAGACGAACCTCTGCCCACGCGTCGCGACGCTTCCCCCGCTCTGTTTATAGCAGGGGGTGATGCGAGAGAACATGTCCATGAATGCCCATTCTCTTCAGAGCCTCAAGAATGAAAGGGGAGCAATAACGACGGGAAGGCGGACTTCAAGCCCGTCAGCGGAATCCCAAAACGGTCGCGCCCCAGAAGGCGCCGCTGGTTCGCGGCTTTCTGCAGAGACCACGTTGCCCAGCGTGCGTCTCCGGGAGATGCGGGACTGCGAGTTCCCAACCGTGGTTTTTGACGTCCGAGACAGCGGCGAGAAGGAAGCGCTGCGGAGTGGCCTCGCGTCAGCGTAGCCAATCGACAGCGTGCGGGTCTCTGAACAGTCGCGAATAAGCGCGGCGCCTTCGTCGCTGTGCTTGGTGCCTTGCGGCGGGAAGACCATTGCAGGAACTCTCGTGTCATCGGGGGGGGGTCGCCAATCGCGCCTTCGCATGTACCACTGTGGAAATCCGATGACATCCAGGGGGCCCCCCAGTGGGCCAGCGTCGACGCGAGGGCCCGCCCGCCGGCGTCGACGCGAGGGCCCGCCCGCCGCGGGCGCGGACGGGGCTCGCGCCCGAATCGTCGGCAGGAAATCGTCATAGCCAAGCTTCCAGGACAGGCCAACAGAAAGACCAGGGGCCCTCTGGGCGCGCTCCACGACTTCATTCCACACAGAAGCCTCGGCCACCAGCCTCCCCGGATACAGAGCCCCAGCACCGTTCCACAGCAGGTGCGGACCCCCCCCGGCGAAGCGCATGGGAGGCCACCGGGGCCAAGAACACCAGAGAGCCACGTGCGTCCCTTCATGAGTTTTTAGATGTCCTGCTGCCTCAGAATCTGTCCAATGGCCGCCTTCCTAGAATCCCCTTATCGCATGGGGAGTTCTCAGTCAGGGTCGCCTCAGCTTCGAACGCATGCGACTGAAGGGATTGGATGCGCGTGCAGAGCGCCAAGATGGCCGATCTCAAAAGTGGGCACGTTGAATAACATGCGCAGGTCTTCATGCACTACCCCAGTGATCTAATCATCAGATAAGCTGTGCGTGCTCACAGTCGTGCGCAGCGAGCATGACCTAGCGAAGCTTACCGGGAAAGGTGCATATGGGAAGGCGAGGGATGACTTCCTGCGCTTGGCATATGTCGTGCATTATCTGCTTCGTGTGTCTGGCGACTGCGATGACATCGCTGATGCAAGCCATGGCGGGCAATCCAAATGAGGGACAAAGTGCCGGGCAGGGGCAGCAAGGGGGAGCCTCTGGGTCGCCGCGACGACGGGCATGCTGTCGGAACGCTGGCAAGTCTGCAGGCGCCCTATCACTGGGGCGCGCACCGTAAGGTCAGCCAATCATGTAGAGGGGGTGTCTGAGTAGATGCGGTCTAGCCAGCGGCGCCATATCCAAGATCTCCTCCTTGCGAGCACCTGGTTGCTGATCAGATAAACGCCAGCGTCCGCATCGGGGCTGCAAGAAAGTTCGAGTGGGTCCGATCACCTGGCCGAAAACCGCTGCCGTCCACCACTGGTCGTCCTTCTTCTTCACGTGTCCACTCGGACTACGTTGAGGCTCGAGATGGCATCTGGAAGGGCTCCCCGTGCCAACGATGAGTCGGTGGAGTCGGTCGAGATAGGATCGCAGACGCTGGGGGGGGGGGGGGCGTGCGCTCACTATCGCGACATGCCACGCTTACCCTGGCAGACGGAAACGAGAACTCTGTTAACAACCAGTTGCACGTGCTCGATCGACTCGACTAGAGCAGCGGTATCCGACGAACTAGCAACAACTACATCACCTGTGCGCGGATTGCCATCGATAAGTGAGTGGCCAGTGCTGTATCCGCGGAGATCGCGCTGGAGGTGGAAGACATCTGCTACCTGACCGTGAATTTCCTGATCGCATACAACTGAATACTTCTGGCGAAGGCGGGTGAACTTAGCGCAGCGTAGAGCAATTGTGGCATACGTCGTAGCATTCACCGCACCAAGCAATCCATGAGCATTCCAAGAGACAGCTGACAGAGTCGAAGAAGGAGAGAATGGCATATTGCTGCGCCCTGAATCCACACCAATATCCCGAGTCGGAGACGCGCATCCATCAGCAGAGGCGGTGAGTGATAAACAATGCGCATGCACATCCCCTGCGGCCTGCTCAGACAGGCTCGCGGCAGTCCCTGGACCAAATTCTCGACAACATCTCGATCGGTGATTTCACAGTCGACGTCGCAGTCGTAATCGCCTGCAAAGCTGCTTCACCAGTGAGGTACCATGTGCGACAATTTTGGTCAGGTTCGGCTCGAAGGAGCACCCGTCCTGCTCGTTGCCGCGAATGTAAATCACCTTCCAGATCTCCCCAATGTCCGCGTCGCCGTAGAGGTTGATCATCCCCGGGTATCCGTTGACTCTGAGACGGGCGTTGGTCATGCCTTTGCTGGCTCTCGATCTGGTGATGAGTGTGTTGTCCGCGGGTCAAGCCAGCGCATGCCATTGGGGTTCACTGCCAAACTGAAGGCTGCACGATTTTGACATGCGATTTTTTGGGTAATCGAAACAACCGTGTCGTGATAAAAAGGGAAAAGCACCACAATCTGCTCACAATGATTTTTGCGCCCACGCGCGAAAATAATCCAAGGGAAAGTGCCACTCTGTGACGATTCTTGTTCTGGGTCTCGAGCTGCCGGCCGTCCAGCCTTTCCGATTCGAAGCCAGACGGAATTTACCTGCCGAACAACTGAAGATGGAGCCGTAGAGATGTTCGCTTGGTCCTTTCGGACCTGCTTAATTATGTCCTCGAAGTTCTTTATCTTCGCATCAGAATTGCCACTGGCCGAGATCTCCGCCGACAGAATCACGCCATGGCCGTCAAGGATACGTTCTGGAGCAGCCACACGCGTGTCCGTCGCCTCCTGCGCCGCCTCCACATTGGCCCCAGGGAAGTTCATACTGGCCGTGACGTCCTCGCGAAGGTTCTGAATGTTCGCACCCGTCGCTTCGGTTTGAGCAACAATGAACGCCGCCGTCATTGTGTTCAGGTCCTCCGACTGATCGTCGAGCATCGTATGGATCGAAGCCATCAGACAGTTGGGCTGGTGTGCCATGGTTGGACAAGGGAGAAAGTGGACGGGAAACGGTGTGCGGTGAGCAGGCCGGCGCAACATGAGTCAGCCTCTGTAGCTGCTCCCCACCAAAGGCGCCGCTTGAACCGGAGTGCAGAAAACTGCTGACTCTGATCCGGTTACCTCGCTACCTCGTAGCTTCCCCTCGTTTGAGCCGAAATTGCTACGGAGATGATCGTGTTGAGGATGGTGATGAGAAGGAGAACGAGGAAGAGCAGGGGAAGCAGGAGGAGCAGGAAAAACTTAGTGCTGAACTGAGGATGGTGAGGATGATAAGCGCGAGCACCGAGACTGCTTAGGGGGTCGCTGCAATTATCCTCGTGTTCCCCTTCCTTCTCTCCTGGTCTCCTCCCCCATCCACCGCCTTTTTCCACTCCCCGATCCTTTTCTTTGACCTCCTGCCGCTCATCTTTCTTTATCCCCCTCCTCTTCCTCCTCCGTTTCTTCCTTCGCTTCCTCCTCCTCCTCCTGCTCCTCCTGCTCCTCCTGCTCCTCCTCCTCTTCCACCTTCTCTTTCTCCTCCCACCTCCTCATATCCATCTCCTCTTCTTCCTCCTTCTCCTCTTTCTCCTCCTCTGCTCTCTAACGAACACTCCGGAACATATGAAACACCCCGTCAGCTTCTGAAAACCTTCCAAACCCTCGGATTTGGCGTCGGCGCGATTTCTGGAACCGCGCCCGCTGACCAACCGCCGTGCAACATAGCGGCTCAATGCTCTAGTGCCGACAGCCAAGAAACAATAATACATCTAATCGAACTGCTATAACCCATGTAGCTTTAGTTTCGTGAACTTGGGTGCCCAAGGACGCCGCTGCCGTCTCCGTCGTTTCGATCACCGTCGCCGTCGCCGTCGTAGTGCCGCGCCAGGGGACCCGCAAAGACCGCCAAGGTCCCACAGCAAGGTGTACTTGCGCGTTGCGGACTGGTTCAACGACGCCGACCGGTCCTCATACGCTTGAACGCACCTCGCGATGAGGATGAGAAGGAAGGAGGAGGAGGGGGAGGAGGAGGACCAGAAGGAGAACCAGGAAGAGGATGAGGAGGA